CCCCGGGGCGGTGGGACTCCAACGCCCCTCCCCAGCCTGCGGGAGAGAAGAAGCGGGGGAGCCGCCCTCTGGGGAGCGGCCGGTGGGGAAGGTGGGAGCAGGTCCCGGGACTGAATCTCCGACCGGAGAGATTTTCTCCTGGGGGCTGCAGAGAAGAGCAACCGAGAGGGACAGAATCAGCCGCAAAAGCAGCTCCCTTTTTGTCAGGGAGGACGACCCCTGGCCGGCTTTCCCGGGGCTCGCGGGGGAAGCTCAGCAAAGTTGGATCTGCTTTGGACCAGGATGGAAAGCTCAGAGCTGTGCGCAGGATGGGGACCTTGGCAAGGATGATGGCCAACCCGGCCGGTTAAGCCGCTGGAAAACTGCACGAATACAGACGCCACGAGTCAAGGTCGACCTCAGAGCGCGAGGCTCGTCTTCAGCACTGACAAATCTTTTTTACTTAAACTGTATCGCTCCTTAGCAGCTTTCGTTTTTTAAAGCGCTCCCCCGCTCTTCCCCAGTAGATAGCAACATGTGCGTTTTTCCTTAGAAGACTTAGAATTCAGACTGAATAAACATCCATTTTTGTTTTCTGGAAAGTATGCTGGAATCCCCAGATGGAGTGTTTTGGGGAGTTGTTCAGAACAGAGAAAAGATGGGTGGGACGTGCATGAAGCACTTCTTACCCTCCTTTCCAATACTGTACATCCTTTCCCCCGAAGAGGGGAGTTTTGTGTCGTTTTTTACATGTTGTAATTCTATTTACCAGGCCTGTGGTGGAAAATGTCTTACCTAAAGGACTGATTCAGCTTTTCTCCTTTATCACTTCAATTTTTAGGGCCTTCCGCTCATACATGATGACTTCTGTAGCCATAGAAACACTTCCAAAGGGGACATTTTGTAGGAATATGAGACATGTCAATTCCAAATGGGTAGCAAGTTTCTAATTTTAAATTAATTGAACCCCAGTTATGCTTTAATACTTAACATTTATTATACCACAGTGAGGAATAATGACAGGAAACAGCCATGCACACGCTAAAAAGGAAATCAGTTGTACGTAGCTTAAGAAAGTATTTCTATATCTCTGGAGCCCTGAGCGACGTATATTCTCTTCTATTGCATTTCTACATCTATTGGCAAGACTCAGGGATGCAGATTCAATGAAGGTTGGATCTTACAGGTTGAAGCATTTGATTCCTAAAATGGGGTCCTGTTTTCTACCATAGCATTTCACAAACCCAGAATTCACAACATTTAAAAGTAACCACGTCTGCTAGCAATTCACATAGGAAGCAAAATCTTGGCCAAGCCATCATATGTTGTTCACGGCTTCTTTCAGCTGCTTGCCACAAGCTGGAGGGCAGTCATTTTTACATTTAATTCCAAGAAAACTGCACATTTTCTTCAGCATGAGGTCCACTATCTCCTCTTCTTCTGAAGCCTTAAAAAAAGATACAGAAATGTTATGAGTGGTATGTAATAACACTGGATTGCTAGAAAGAGAACAGAGTCTCAGAAAATCACATTTAGCATTATAGCTCACTACTGAACAATTCCCAGGAGCCTCTGACAGTTGATTCCAACCTTACTTTTCAGCTTTATCTAGTATCTACAGCCAGATGGTTATGAACTGTTCTCAT